AGGGAAAATGCTTGTTCTTCAAATTGGGGGAGAGAGGAGAGGTTTTCCTTTCAATACACATTACAGGGGTTGATTTAACTTGATCAGCACTTTTGTTCTGTGGCAGCAATTTGTGTCAAGTTTCAACCTATTCTGTGTTTTGTTTTTGGAGGTTTTTTCTTTTTAATCTAAAAGCAAATGGCTTAAAAGTAAAATAAAATCAAGACAGCTCATATAGAATTCTAAGGAAGAGTGGAAGATGAAACACAAGGTATCTGAAATAACTGTATTCTTTTATAAAAGGCTAAAGCTATCCATATTTTTGAAAGTTAAAATTTACTTAAATTGAACTGTAACATTTGAAGCCTTAAAATACAGTAAGAAATCTGAGTTAGAAGACCTGTCATAGCCTATTTTTGAACAACAAAAACAATGCCAAAGTTCAAAATACTATAACTCCAATCTACTCAATAGACTATGAGTTGATCTGTATCCCTTTATCCCACCACCTACATGTGAAATCTTTCCACGGGCTCAAATGTAAACCAGGTATCGAAACCAAATGGTCAGTATATCCGAGGACCCTCCAGACCTAGAATGACCTAGGATTGCACTGGATTACTCAAAACCAATCTTGATCTGTGCTAAAGCCAGGCCTGAACCAAAGTAGTCTCTCAGGATAAAAGATACAGGTTTATGATACAGTCTGCCTGATTTTCATACTACAAACAAATAATTTATGAGAAGAGGATTACCATATTCTGAAATGTGTGAGATCAAATGCCCTTTCCAAATTCACAAAAGGGTTCTAATTTCCCACTCATTAAAGTTAGACATCTAATTTTAAAGTATATTAAAAAGGCAAGTTCAAAATGAAAAAAATCTCAATTTATGGTATTTGTTCTAAGCTGGAAATATTTATGAAATAATCTTGTATATAACAGTGGTGGACAAAACCAATATTAATTTATTAAATGCTGTTTTAATGAATCTTAAGGTTAAGTGAATACCATCTACCTTATTCATTGGTTATATTTTTGTTTATATACATATGTTTTTTTAAACTTCTCAGGCTATGAGGTTCTTTTTGGTTAGAAACATATCTTCCAAGTTAAAACTATCCTTGTAACTACATCTTCTATACAGAGCAAAATATCCATTGATAGGGTGTCAGTGTAGATCAGTAAAAAGAATCTAAAGTTAATTCCACTACTGGTTTCCTCACTTGTAAAATTGAGAATACTGTTTGTCCTACTTATGGTATGTGCTAACAAAGTGAAAATAATGAAATTACTATGCCACACAAAATACTACAAAAATTAAAGAAACCTGAGAAAGAGACCATGTTATCTCATGTCTAATACCCTGAATTG